CTTTTACTAAACCACTGGCGTTTCTTCCTTGATGTTATTTCCGTAGCTTTGCTCTTAGTCACTTTGTTTTTTTACAACACAGTCAAATGAGCTTTCACTCGGTCACTGTCGAGGCTCACTCAGAACAAAATAAACGTCGTGCGAACTTACATCTTGCCTTGGCAAAAACTTATTGTCTGATTGAGTAGTCGAATAAGGTTGTTTTCCAATATTGTACATACAGCTTCATATCCCTTCTTTTTGCCCCAAATGTGTTTCTTCCTTATAATGTTGGAAATGACTTATTCCATTGTTTCAATTGGAAGGTTTTTTGTAATTGCATCCCTTTGTGATAACTTTTAGCACATCTCATTCGCCCTCCGTTTCGGTCTCTCCTACATTGTTCCACCGATTCCTTTCGCCCTTGAGCGTTCCATCGCCATTTTAGAGCACAAGCGCCGCGAGGCGTTACGGGTATGTCAACCGTACCTACTTGGCTTTATTGTTCTTTATCCAAGCATTCTTCAAAGTTGTGTTCTGAAGGGACTACGGGCTCCACTCTTATCTGAGTTGATCTGGGCATTTTTGCTTCGCTTTTCAGATGCTTGCAGTTTTTAGCTAGCAGCAACTCTCATTGTACTAGTTAACTAAATTTTCCATCTAAGCTGTTATTGGACTAGCCATTGAGTTTTGTAGGCTTAAGGGCTCCTCTCCGCTAAGCAGATTATAAATTTAGTGATTCTTGAGAGGGCAACTAGGGTCTGGCTACTAGTGTTTTCAGGAATCCGTTCGAATTACAACTGTGCAGAATCTGGACAATAAATGGGAAGCAAGTTGAAATCATAACCTTTGGATGGCAATTTAGCGTGAAATGCGTGACTTGGCAAGCGTGAGCCTCCAAAGATTTTATGGATATTGGCGAACTTTCCCTAGGCGAAAGCATAATCTGTTGGTGTGTCTGAGTAGGCCAAACATCACTCTTATGGCGATAGCAGGTCACGATGTGAGTAGCGTCGTCGGGAGTCAGTCATACAACAGGATAACCGTACGGTCTACATAAAAAAATACTTGCATTGTTCATATAATGGGCGTTTAGTTTTGAAATTTCGCGGTAGCGCAACCACCCTAAGGGACTTTGGTGTTAGCGATGCGTCGTAGGCCAGGCACCTGCTATTTTAACTTCTTTGGGGTTTTTAATTGTCTGCAAATTTAGCAGCAGCTGTTGGATTTGGTTTTTTACGTTTATCAAGATATGCAAGCTGCGCCTATGAGTTTGTAGTTAGGGGATACACGCGATGGTCACTTTGTTATCTCCACACCCTATGTGGAGTTGGCATGGAAACTTCTTAATTTTACCCTTTAGACTTTAATGGTGGACATCTTTGAGTTAAACTTTGGGCAAGGTGTTTTTTAACTGTTTTTCCTCTCCAGACTCTGGAACGCGAATGTCGCAAGGAGGCAAGGCGAGTGAGTGATGAAAACGGCTCACCGGATTACCCCAGCGACCAAACATCAGACATTGACACGCCCTGACATCCGTCTGTATGACCTACTCAACCAGCTGCTGATTTTGTTCGTCCTCACTTATAGTTAAATTGTATTTTGTGGCCACAAAATGTTGGACGAGTTTTGTGCTAATATGACACGACTGAATGGCTGTGCTAACTGTGTTTCACCAATGAAGTCGCCTGTGAATTTGTCAGTGAAAATTTGTTTTTGATCATCCAAGTATGTGTACCAGATAAATTATATTGCAAGCATCATAGTTGCAACATTGCGAACCTTTTCATTGCATTACTGGGGTCTCGTTGGAGAAATAAGGCAAACAATTTTCTACACTTGGCTCCTTTGAATGCTCTACTTTTCAGCTGTCGGAATGCGTTTTTGCATCCGGACGTTGGACTTTTTACAATTAATTTTACCAAATAACTGGAAACCGTTCTTTTGTTTCGGCTATACTGCCCCAGGTCCTATTTTCATTCTTCTCATTCTGATTGCTTTTAAAGCGCTTAATATTTTGAGACTTGAAATTGTGTAGCTTGCAGAACAATTGCTTTTATTAACTTTGCGGGCTGTCACTGCTACCAATCACCTTCATAATGTATGAGGTTTGTTGGTAAGTCAATTTTTTGGAGATTGCGGACTCCTTGTAAGGTCAGTGTAATGGAGTCACTCAGAGTACTTTTCTTGCATCTCTTCTTAAGTCAAAGGAATTGTTGAGATCCCTTGAGGAAGTGTTTGTGAAGGCTTATTAGTAATGCATGTTCCTTCAAAGCAAATTGTAAAAGTAGTGAAGCCAACTATTCGAGGCCAAGGGCAAACGGACTACCGGGACCTGCTGGTCTATCTCCACAACGTAACTTACCCGGTCTACTTAGCTGACTGTCACGAACCTTAAGCCATGGTTGTGACAAAGTAAGCAACTACCTTGGCATTAACTCATTTTAATGCACCAGGGTGCGTTTGTGAAAAGGTGTCGATTGTTGTCCTAACCCGTAAATTTCAAGTCGGTCGACGGTATAGTACTTGGAGCCTTCTCTGCGAATCCAACAGCCATAATGCTGGGAAGAAGTACGGTGGTCGTACCCTTCAACGTCCACGCAACCACGACGGAGACGTACAAGGAATAGAGCACTTAAAAGGTTTTTTCGTATGTACGACGATTTCAAAAGAGGCGTAATTTATGTAGGCTAAATCCAATCCAACGTCCAGTCGGACAGGCGGCTTCGCCTCTCGCGTACAGCCAGTCCAAAGATAGAAGGGAATTGGAAACAATAAGCAAAGCAGATTGACCTTCGCCCTAGTGTATTTCCACATATTTTGAACTGAAAACGAGAAGCGCCGACGAATTAAATACCACCGATATGATGATTAATTGTTAAGTTATTATTGCTAACAAAACGCCATGAAAATAATGTCTGTTTTTCGACCACATCTTTTCAGCATCAAACGACTGCCAGCATATGCGATGGGTATAAGGGCACCTCCGAACTTAGCGACCCAAAAGCCTGCTTCAGTGGCAGCAATAAGTTGACACCTCTCCAAAGGTGTGCTTTTAGGGTTATTAAAATGGACATTAAAATTACGAATAATTTTGTTAACAACTATTTGAGCTTTAGAATCATCAGCAGCTGTATTTTATGTTCGTCTTGATGTCCTGTTGAGGTAAAAATGTCGGTGAAATTGGTACGGTTCGCATCCAACAAATCGTGGCTTTCTTTTCATTCAGGAAATGAATGTGCACTTCACTGTCCACATCGCTTGGATCTTGAAAGGCGTAGTTCTGTGTTTTCGGTGTCTTCAGCTCTTCC